GGGAGGTGGGCGAGCCTGGGGCGACCAGCGCAGCCGACGGACAAGCGAAAAAAAAATAAAAACAAACAAAACCTTTGCATGGGGCCAGCCGAGGGGCCGAGCGACCGAACGGCTGCGGGCGAGCCTGGGGCGACCATTGCAGCCGACAGGCAAGCGAAAACAAACAGAATCAAACAAAACCAAGGAATTGGGCCAGGCCGAGCGACCGCGGGGCGGCGGGCGACACTGGGGCGACCAGTGCAGCCGACGGACAAGGCGAAAACAAACAAAACAATCAAAACCAAGGAATGGGGCCAGCCGAGGGGCCGAGCGACCAGCGTCGCCCAGGGAAGTGACAACCAAACCCTAGAAGTAGATTAGGTTTGCGCCCGCCCCCCAAAAAACAAAAAATATAGATTCTTGAAATAGGAAGGCGCTTAAAGTAGATTGGGATCTGGGAATCCAAAAATACCTACTTTCAACGGCCGGTGGGTAGCGTATCCGTGCGCGCGCCCTGGAAACAAACTCCTCCTGCGTCTGGCCGCGGAGCTTTCAGTCCAGGATGCTTCGAACCCTTGCAGCTCCCTTGGGGCCCTCTGGCCAACCTGTGCAAAGGAGGCCCCGAAAACTCTGCAGAAGAGAATGTCAGGGAGCTCCTGGCCAGGGACCTGCGCAGACGCCTGCGCCAGGGAATGGCTCCTGACGGCCAACAGAACTCCCGAACACAGAACAGAACTGGTGTCATCCTATGGGGATTCAGATTGGTCTGAGGGAGGGGCTTGGCGCAACGATGGAGGAGACACGCACTCGACCCCCTCGGGCCAAGGCTCAGTCCCAAAACGGCGCAAGTCCAAATCAAGAACGACGTGGCCTGTCCCACGAGCTCCTCGGAGTCTGGCTGCTCAATCCCTCCAACAAGTATGGGCACGCACCCTGCCGTCTGCCAGCATCAGTGGCCATCCGTTCGCACCCCGGCACAACACCAACGTGCTCCTCCGAAGCTTTCCAGACATTGGCTCCGCGCTTGGCCCAGGCGTCAGCCATCGCATTGCCTCTGATGGGCCCTTCCTCGTGATCCGACGTGGCCGAGGCCAGGCTCTGGTGCGCAGCATCCTTGACCACACTCGCCTGCCTGCCTGTGCCTTGCCACCAATCACGCCGCATGTGTTGCCTGGGGTTGCCAAGCCCGCGAGGCTACGCTCGAGTCCTGCGTATACCCGAGAGGCCCAGCACAATCGGTATGTACGACCAGGGGATGCTCCACCGACCACTCATTGAACTGTGCGGGCCAGCATACGAGAAGGCCCAGTCTTCCCCGTCTCGAGCCGCCTGTCCTGAGGCGGCGCGGAGATGGACCGCGCCGTATGTGGCACCGACGAACTGACTTACACGATCAATCTGGACGACTGTCCAGCCTGCGCGACTAACCGTAGGTCGGGCACCCCTTACAGGCGGACTTTGGACGAAGAGTACAGAATACCCCAACAGTGTTCAAACATAGCCACACATTATATATATAGAGAGAGAGAGAGAGAGAGAGAGAGAGAGAAAGAGAAAAAAAAAAAACGTCCCCATACTATTTTTCGACTATGGTCGAAGATTCCTCCTGTAGAGGGACACGCCCGACTCAAGACTAACCCTTGGAGGTGCGAGTGAACCGCCGAACCGCCCAGGAACACCTCAACCGAGAGCCTTCACCCCAGGAAAAGGTTCACGAATTTGACTTGGTCCTCCTCGGGGGCCTCAGCGCAGACAAAACAACAACAGCGTGGTGCAAGAAGCCGGTACGTACCGAGGGTTCGTGCTGTGTCGACCCCAGCGCTGGTTAATGACACCGCGTCGATCGCTCAACCTGACACGATCAGCGGCCTCTCGATCGCCAGGCCCTTCCATCTTGGCCGATGCTGGGCCACAGGCGGCGCTCAGCCTCGAGTGCCCGCGCCGGGGTCGCCGTCGGCCGTCACGGCGCGAGCCTGCCGCACCTGGCAAGCAGCTCTGCTTGCTCCTCATCAAAAAGCGGCCCATGCTCAGGGCACTCTTCTGTCCTGGCGGCCGACGCAGCGAGGACAATCATCAGACCCCCCTAGGTGATGCGGACAAGGAAGGCGATTTCAATGATCGAAGCTTCTGAACACGAAAACTCCCGTTCAGCAGTCTGAACTACCGTTGCGTCGACTCGCCCCTCAATGCGCGGTCCTTGGACGTCCCGACCCTTTCCCCTGGGCCAGTTGTTCATCCGGAGTCGTTTTTTGACGTCCCTTGGGCCAGGTCTTGATTCCGAGTCGGTTTTTGACAGTCCTGGGGCCCAGTGAGCCCCCAGAGGCCGAAAACTGTGGAAACCGCTACGTTGACCTGTTCAGTAATTAATTCCGTTGGAGGCCTGGCTATATCGGAGACGGCGCCGAGGAGGCGCGTGGAGGGCGCACAGAGTGAGAGGGCAACATCAGTCAGCATCACATCGGTAAATCGGATCGAATCAAAATGTGCATCTGATCGGGCTGCATCGGCACGGCATCGGTCGAATCGGATCGGCGGTGCCAAACTGCACGACAGCGCGATGCAAACATCGGGCCGCACCAAATCGTCGAAATCTCGGAATCGAATCGGGTCGTGCTGGTTGACCCTGGGCTCCACATCGAGCCGCATCGCCGAGGCGTCGGCGAGGGCAGGGGTCCATCGTCAGGCTCCAGCCGCTTGGGGCCCCAGCTCTTCAGAACGGGTGCTGCCAGGAATGCCCCTCTGAAGAGAGCGCGGTGCCGCGACATCCCTCCTCGTCGAAATCAGACGATTAATTTTCCTGCGACGTGGCGGCGCCCCAGGACTCCACAATCTCAATGTTCGCGCCGAAGTTGGCGGCTGCAAACACAAGAATCTGACCCCGCGGGCGGCGCTTTGAAAGTCGATTCGTATTGTGAAAGCTTGCGTTTGATTTCGAGGAGGGTTGTACCCATCGGTCGGAAGAAGTAGGTAGAAACATGAGGTAGGAAGGCGTTGGAAGTAGATTGGGTCTCCGCCCGCCCCTTGAAGAGGACGGAAGAGGGGAAGCCACCCGATCATTGAAGTAGAAGGCGCTTAAAGTATGTTGGAATCTGGGACTCCAAAAACACCTACTTTCAACGACCGATGGTAGAGGCTTCCGAGATGGGGTCCGAGTTAATGGGGTCGGAAGATCTCGCCGCATCGCCGATACATCGGTGATGCATCGCCGATGCATCGGCGATGGCACCGGCGACGTCGGCGATACATCCGCGACGTCGGTCCAGAGAAAATCGGGCCCCACATCGAGCCAAGCATCGCCGATGCATCACCGATGCATCGCCGATGCTGCGCGATCCTCCGACCCCGTCTGCTCCGACCCCATCTAGGAGGCCTAGAGCTAGGTCGGGCATGTCCCCCTACTCTACATCCCTTATTAAACGCCCCCCCCTCCCCTTACAATACCGGCCCCCCCTGCTTCGGCACACTAATACTCTGGCCCCCCCTCCACGGGAGGCGCCTTGATATTCCGGCCCCCCCTCTGGCGAAGTTGAGCGTTGTAGTTAAGCTGGTGGACATGGTGGGGCTGTGGTTGCAAAGTGGTGACTTCATTGGTGATCAGAACTCTGTCGGTTTGCGACGTCGACAACAAGTATGATAAATACGATGATCGCCATGATCGTGCACGTGATGCTGTGGCACAGGCGCCATATCTATATATATATATATATACACGCCACACACATATATACATGAATTATGGCTGCGATTGCGGTGGCGGCCCAAAAAGTGGTTACAACCAGCGTGGAACGAAGAGCCGAACAGTGGGGCGCAATCATCATCACCATCGTCGTCGTCATCATCACCACCATCATTACCATCAACGCTGTCACCATAATCATCATTATCATCACCGTCACGTTCACAATTGAGATCACCACCGTCATCATGATCGCCGACGACTGCGGTCTTGAAACATAGTTTCAGTTTATTAGGGGCCATCCTGAAGGTCAGTTTCAAGCCTCTGGCCCAAAATGGTTATTCAGAAAACGCCATAATTCTCCAGCCCCCCCTTCGCTTCGGTCACGCGAAACCGCCTAATATTCGGGCCTCCCCCCCTTTGGAAAAAGGCGCTTTAATATACCGGCCCCGGGGGCCGCTTAATAAGGGACGTGGAGTACAGGCGGATTTGGGATGAAACATTAAAATAGTCAAAACATATCCCCAAATACTCAAATATACTAAAACACGGGTCCCCAGAACAACATTTTTCCCTACCTAGGCTCTGCCTAGAGGGTTCTTACTTGGTTTGCTTAAAGGGGCGGGCAGTGGAAAACGCCTCGGGCGGTTCCCCCAGTCCCCGCCCCGCGGTTCCCCCAGGTACGTCCCCTTAGCTTAGCGTTGCTTATCTCATCTTAGCTTAGCTTCGCTTAGCTTAGCTTCATCTTAGCTTCACTTAACTGTAGCTTAGCTTAGCTTAGCTTAGCTTAGCTGATATCATTTTAGCTTTAGCTTAGCTTAGCTTAGCTTAGCTTTAGCTTAGAGTTAGTTTAGCTGTAGCTTAGCTTTAGCTTAGCTGTAGCTTAGCTTTAACTTAGCTTTAGCTTAATGTTAGCTTAGCTTTAGCTTAGCGTTAGCTTACCTTTAGCTTAACTTTAGTTTAGATCCAGCTTAGCTTCACCTTAGCTTTAGCTTAGCTGTAGCTTAGCTTTACCTTAGCTTTAGTTTAGCTGTAGCTTAGCTTTAGCTCAGCTTCAGCTTACCTACAGCTTAACTTTTTGCTTAGCTTTAGCTTGGCTTTAGCTTAGCTTTAGCTTAGCTTTAGCTTAGCTTTTGTTTATATCTAGCTTAGCTTTAGCTTAGCTTTAGCTTAGCTTTAGTGCTACTACTAATGCTGCTTTCCTAAGGGCTCCAACTCCTAGGTAGGGTCGCACTGGGATAATCTTAAACATAATTGTTGAAGATTGCCCCTGTAGAGGGACAGGCCCGACTTAAGCCTAGAGATAGTAAGGGTGCCCCTCTGAAGGAAGCGCGGCGCTGGCCGCCTGCAGCCGCCCGCTACCGCGCGGGGCGTGCCGCCGCAGTCGCCGCCGCTCTCGCCGCCGGGGGCGCCGCCGCCGCAGGCCGCCGCGGGCAGCTGCAGGTCGCAGAGCGGCTCCTCCCCGGGCGGGGGCTGCCAGAAGGGCCCCTGGCCCTTCGAGATGCAACTTTGCTTAGGTCAGTTACTTGAAGGGCAACGATAAGGGGGGACTGGCATAGGGGGGGATGCATCGACCTGGAATCGGCGATACATCGCCGACGGATCGGCGATAGGCCTTCGATAGTGAATCCGCACTTTCCTGGGCAGGTCGGGGCTATCGGGCCCGTATCGGCGACCAATGGGCGATTGGGGGTCGATTGGGGGAACGAAAGGGGGGATAGCAAAGGGTAGGGTAGAGAATCAGCTCACGTCGCTGATTCTCCCGGCGCCTCCCGGCGCCGGGAGGCGCCCATGTATCGAGGACTGGGCCCGGCGGCGGGGCCGAAAGCAGCTGCATGCAGCAGCTTCGGTCCCCCCCCCTCTTTCCCTATCCCCCCCTTTCGCTCGGCCCGAGAAGGGCCCTGGCCCTTCGAGATGCAACGCTGGCCAGGTCAGTTGTTGGTACCCACAAATATCTATCAGCAAAAGGAAGATGATCAGCACCATCTTCCAGACACGGCATAACCATCAGCTGTTGGCGCTCCGCGCCGGTTTCTTGGATCTGAGCTGGACGCCCCCCCTGGCGCACGGAGCGCGCCAGGGGCGGCGCCGGGGGGGGCCCAGCGCGGATCCAAGAACCCCGCGCGGAGAGCCAGCAGTTTATGCTTACGCCGCGTCTTCTTCCACGAGGTGGGGCCCCTGGCCAACTGAGTTGCAACGTGGTTCCTTCCCATCTGGCGAATGACTGGCCGAAGCCTCTGTCCCTCCTGGAGCTTCGCTCGGGATTGCGGCCGCGGATGCCCTCGACCGTAGGGCCTTGGGGCGAATGCCCCCGACCGTCTGCACGCCCCTGCCCCTCCCGGAATTTCGTCTGGGAGTGCCATCGCGCACGGCCTTGCAGATAGCCGCCCGGAGGACTGTCAGCTTCGGGAGGAGGAGGAGGAGGAGGAGCAGGAGGAGGAGGAGGAGGAGGAGGAGCAGGAGGAGGGCGATGGGGCCGAGGAGAGGCGGCCTGCGCAGCTCGGCCTCGGCGCCCTCGGGCATATGTGGAGTGCTCGGGGATGTACTGAGATAGCTGGGCGACTGCCCCCACTGGGCAGCTGCTGGGCGACTGCCCCCACTTGCGGGAGCACCCCTCAGGAGGCCCAGAGGGCCCCAGGGGCTCCAGCGCTGAGCGAAAAGCTGGGGGCACCTTGGGGCCAGGGGGGGCACCTTCAGCAGCCCCCGAGTCGGGCGCAGCGGTGGGGGTCTTCGGAAATGTTCAAAGACCCTCGACGTTTCCCAAAAAGGGTTCGGAACCCCGGATGGCTTCTATCAGCTGAGCCTCGTGGAGGGCGTCATTTTCGACGGTGTTCCCAAAAGGGTCTCGAAGCCTGGGGTGGTTTCCATCAACTGCGCCTCGTCGAGGGTGTTCTGGGGGTGCCGGAATCGTCCCGAACGGCCGCCTGAGGCCCGAGCTCTGGCCCGAAAACCACGTGGTAGCTCAGATCGAACGAGAACAACTGCGCAACCATGCAATAGGTTCGCGCGGCGTCTGCGCGCGCACAGGTTTTTGACACTGCGTCGATCGTTCATCCTTGAATCGATCGCGGCCCCGATCGGTCAAGACTGAATCCAGCTGGGTTCAGCGGCGTTACCGTGTCCCTCGGTGCTTCCGCGTCGCAGAACTCAACCTTGAACGCCTTCGCTGGCGTCGCCAGCGCGCCATCGCCGCACGTACCTACTAGACAGTCAGGAGCTTTTGCTGAGCGGGTCGCGGCGGCGGCCCTGGCGGCACACTTTGCCCTGCAAGGTGATAGGGTGTCGCTCCGCTCTGCGGGGCGGGTGGCTGGGAAAACTTCAAGATGTGGACGCCTAAGGGCTGCGAGGTGGAAAGCGTGCCGCGCAGGACCGTGGTGGGCATTGTGCTCGCTCCTCGCGTGGCCTTTTTGGGCGCACAGACCAGACATCCAGTGGCTCGAAGGAATCGAGGCGCCAATCTTATTCAGAGGCCAGTTCTGGGCCCCGGGACAGTGAGAAAAAACATAGAGAAACTGGGGAACGTGGAAGCTTGGAATCCCAAGAATGCGGGAGTGGCCCTGGCTGGAAAAGCTGAAAGGGACTGAAACGAGCTAAGAACAATTGGGATGAGGCCGCCAGGTCTGGAAGAACTGCAAGGAAACCCACCAGGACTGGAAAGAGTGAAGGGCTGGCCCCAACCAGTTCCCCAGCCTCGCATTACATTTTTCTTCTCACATGGCCCGAGCAACACACGTGGCGGTGCATCAGGAATTGTAGGGGGCTCGCGGCTTGCAGCCATGCGTGGCTGCAAACGTGCAGGCACCCTCGCTGCGCGTGCAGATAAGTTGTCGGCCAGTCGACAGGCTTGGCGAAGAGAAGGGAAGACAGAGAGAGAGAGAGAGAGAGATGGAGAGTGCGTGTGTGTACAGGCCGATAGCTCTGATGGGCCGGGGATCTAGCGCCGGCCAAGCTACGACGCCTGCAGCGCCTAGCTGGCCCGCCGGCAGACCGCGACCGGCCAAGGTCATGCACTGGGTCACCTCCGAGGCCTAACGGCCACGGCGCTTGTTGGGTCCGGCAGATCCAGCACACTGCCGAGCGAAGTGATGACTTAGAGGGCGCGCCAGGGCGCGGGCGACTCCAGCCCGGGCCGTGACCGCATCACACCGCGAGCAGCCTGAACTCGTTGAGCGGCATGTGATTCTCCGAAACGGTGATCTTGGCTCTGCCGCGGGGCATTTTCGCGGTCTGACCCCCGGTGATGCTCTTGGTGCCCCCAGACGCGTCTGTCACGTGGACCACCCCGGGGGCATCCACGGCGAGCACCTCCATCTCGTCCTCATCGAAGGATATCTGGAGTACGGCGCCACGGAAGTGAACCCCGCGGAGGACGATGTGCGACATGTCTGAAATGAGCGATGGGTTCAGCGCCAGGTGATCGCGCCAGATGCGCACTCCTCCGAAGCCGAAGAGCACTGTCTGGAGGAAGCCGCCAAGGCCTGTCAAGAAGCCGACGCAGCCACTATCTGGCTGTTCTGTCCACACGTAAAAAGGGGCATGCGAATTAGCAAAGGAATGCTCGAAATTATTCGCGGCCCCAGCCATGTCTCCGACGTCGAGGTAACCCACGATATACATGCTCCAGGACATACAGGGGGCATCTGGGTCCGTCTGCGGCGCGTAGAACTCAAGGTCCTTGCGCCTGTCCTCAAGAGACATGTTCATGGTGAGAGGGTAGCCAAGGAGGACCACGTCTGCCTGCTTGATCTGGCCGCCGTCGTACCCCTGGTACTCAGGGTGGATGCCCTTTGACGCGTCGTAATTCATGACGATTGCGTCGGCTGTCTTCCTCCAGTCCGCATCTGGCTCTTTGTCCAGAACACGGCTGGCCTCCTCCGCGAAGAGCAAGTTGCGCTTCGCCACAAAGTTCGTGAAGACGGAGTTGTCCACGCCGTGGTCGGCGGACTCGTCAGGGGGGATCACATTCTTAATATTCGCAGCATCGCCGTCCCACTCCACGCGGCTCTTCCAGAAGTCCGCGGTCTTCAGTACCAGGCCTTCAGCCGCGTGAGCGAGCCAACTCTTGTTGTGCGTCGCGTACCACAGCTGTTGCGCGGCGAGGGCGATGTCGCCAGTGATGTGCTGCTCCAGCTCCCCCTCTGGGTACTGGGTCGGGCACGTCTCCGCGCCCGTGGCGGCGCTCTCCCACGCGAACATGGCCCCCTTCCAGCCCTTACCATAGCCCTGTGCCTTCTTCTCCGCCTCGGGTACCGTGTTCAGACGGTACTCGAGCATAGACGCGGCGATGTCTGGGTGCCAAAGCACGAGCGGCGGGTACATCCATGTCTCTGCGTCCCAGAAAGTGTGGCCAAGGTAGCCTCTGTGCGTCTTCCCGTGTGCCAGGCCCCCTGGCGAGGTTGAGTACGGCGCGTCCGCACGCAGGCTGCTCAGCAAATAATACTGCGACGAATTGACCACCCGTGCAACGTCCATGCGGCCTGTAATTTCGACCCCAGACTCCCACAGGCGTGCCCACGCAGCCGTGTGCTCCGAGTAGAGAGCGTCGGCCCCTTTCTGCACGGCCTGCTTCCAGTCCTCCTCGGCATCCGCCTCAGGATCTTCGGATTCTAAGCTCGTGCGCACCGCCGCCACGAACGAGATCGGAGTCCGCTTGCTCACCGTGACTGGTCCTGACGGCGCGGTGTGCAGCACCACGCTCACTCGCGTGGTGGGCTGATCGGCGGTCTCGGCCTCCCTGGTCTCCCCGGCCCACACGAGAGCGCTCTTGCCCGCCGCAGTGATCTGGGACGCCGTCCAGACAAAGTCGTCGCTGGACGGCGCCGCTCCGCCGAAGCCGCTGAGGCCGACCTCCACGCCCTGCTGGCTGTCTGTCGTCACGTCCACCACCATCAGGGAGCGCCTGGCGCGGTGGGCGTAGAAGCGCAGCTCCACGGTGGCTGTGCCGACGGTGTACCGCCGCAGGTACGCGCCGCTGCGGAGGTGGAGCCCCGCGCCGACGGCAGCCCCATCCACAGCCAACTTCAGCGGAGCCGGGATCCGCGCGCGGTGCGACGGGTTGTCCGACACCGCTGGGCCGTTGAACACCCCGGCGGCGAACATGTCATCCGAGCCGACTTCCGTGGCCACGAACCCGTTGCCGACCTCTGGATGATACTTCACGTCCTGCTCGCTCTGCGTGAACAGCAGATCGGCCTGCTCATAGGCTTCGCACCACTCTGCGGGAAGTCCTGCAGGCATGCTGCCGCGGTCGACGGCGAGGCCGACGAGGCCAGGGGCAGGAGCGGCGCCACTGCACGACTTCAGGTTGCAGTTGTTGTCGTGGTACTGGGAATCGGGGCCGTTCCAGCTGGCTGCATGACAGCCCGCGATGGACACGCAGAGCTGCGCGCACTCCTCCGCGGACGACGTGACCTCGGAGCCGGGCAGGTCGCAGCCCGGGAAGTCCGTGTCGGGCTTCTGGGTGTACGTTGGCGCTTTCCCACAGGACGCCCGCGCCAGCGCGGGAGCGCAAGCGCACACCGCCAGCAGCCTCGGCAGGGAGCCTCGGCCGTCCGCCATGGCTGCTCTAGGCGGCGAGCCTCTGAACCACGGCGGAGGCATGGAATGAGGAAGCCTTGGACAAGGAATCCTGGGTCTGGAGGCCAGTGGAACTCGAATTGTGTAGCGGCCAGGAGTATCGCCACCGCCCGCATCAGCTAAGGAATCCTCCAGGGTCGGAAGCCTCCTAGGCACATTCCTGAATCAATGCCCCCACCGTAGGAGGCTCCGCTGCTGGGACGCAGATGGGAGGTGCCGACGCTGCGCTCGGCCCACGTCCCCCCGGCCTGAGCCCAAATGCCTACGGATCCCCAACCTCGCTTCACACGAGCGGCGCACACGAAGGGGTGGCGGCCTCCTGAGAAGCCTGGGTGGGCTCCGACGAGGGCAAAGAGCCTCTCAGAAGCCCTCCCAGCTTCGAAGCAGCCTGCTTCTGGGTCGCCCAGCGTGCCCAAACGTCCCCAGCATCCTCGCTCCTCGATCGTCCCCCTCCTCGACCCTCGATCTCCCAGTGGAGGTGGTGACCCCCTGGCCCAAGACTTCCGACAAGCCTGGGCCTCCGAGAACCGCGGCAGGGCCGCGGCAGGGCCGCCGAGGTCCGCCGAGGGCCGCGCCGCCGCGGGCCGCCCGAGGGCCGCCCGGCCGCCGTCCTCTCCCGGCGGCGAGCTGGGCCGCGAGGAGTGTGGCGACCCCGTCTTGCTGAGGGCCGCGGACAAGCGCCTCTCGCGGCGGGCCGGGCTCGGCGCCGCCGCCGGCCGCCGTCCGCCGTCCTCGTCCTCCTCCTCCTCCTCCTCCTCCTCCTCCTCCTCCTCCTCCTCCTCCTCCTTCTCCCTCGACCTCTTCCGCTGCCCTCCTCCTCCGCCTCCTCCTCCTCCTCTTCCCTCGACCTCTTCCGCTTCCCTCCTCTTCCGCCTCCTCCTCCGCCGCCTCCTCTTCCTCCTCCTCCTCCTCCTCCTCCTCCTCCTCTTCTCTCGACCTCTTCCGCTTCCCTCCTCTTCCGCCTCCTCCTCCTCCTCCTCTTCCTCCTCCTCCTCCTCCTGCTCCTCCTCCTCCTCTTCTCTCGACCTCTTCCGCTTCCCTCCTCTTCCGCCTCCTTCTCCTCCTTCCCCTCGTCTTCCTTCCTCCATCCCTCCTCCTCGTCAGCAACTCCTCCCCGTCGCACCATCGGGCGCGTCGTGAGGGCGGGCCCGGGGGCACTGCCTCATGACTTACGATCTCGAAACTTGAGACTTCCAGCGACTACACGCATGTAACACTGGCCGCCGCGCACACGCGTGTTAAACAAATTCAGCAACCGCGCGGATGGAGGGGTTCTCGCCGTGGCGCCGCGCACATTCGTCTTCAGCGCTCGCAGCAATGATCCAGAAAGATGGCGGCACGTGTTCCACATGGGCTCTCGCCGCGGCGCCGCTCACATTCAATTCCGAACACCGCAACAACTATTTGCCCGGATGGAGGGCGGCTAGGGCTCCCGCTTGAGGCATTTTATGCCCCGAAGTTCAACCGTGTGAAGCAGATACGCGTGTGGGAGTCGGCTTCCGTTTCACATGGGGCGTTCGCTTTGTCTGCCCGACCATTTTGAGGCAAGGATTGGAACAATGACGATGACACGGGTGGAGGAAAGATCACTAGCAACTCTCTCGAACTCTATGACCCTACCTCCATGCATGTCTTATACCTGGGAGGCGGGGTGTCCCTTGCAGGAAAGGCCTCGCCTGAATGGCACGCCCACGAGGGGTTCGTCTGTCAGGGCGGGCGCTTCCCGCAACGGAAAATAATACTTGTAGAGACTTGTGAGGAGGGGACCTGGGACGGGAGGGTGTGTTGGAACATCGTTGACGCATCTTTGGTTTGCTCTGGTCCTCATTGTCCTCGTTCTCTTCCTCTTCCCTTCTTGCCCTCCGCCTCCCCCGCCGCCCTCCTCCTCAACCTCATCAGATCCACGCGTCGTTACGAACGTCACAACATAACATTGTTTGGGCTTTTCTGCATTTTGGGGCCTTCAACGGGCCCCAGGGCCATCAAACATAGGCTCAGGATGACCAGTTCTTGGCCCAGGGCCCGACGGAATCACCTCTGACTGGAAGAATGCCAGGTAAACAAATAGTGGCGAGAGCTCTGATCGGTGTTTCTCACGGCGTCGCGATTATTTCACAACGTCGGTTCTCGGGGTCCGGCTGCGTGCGCTTCCAGGAGTTCGCAATTCGGACAGACTGCGTGCGCCTGCGAGCAGCCGCATCGCAAGCTTTTCCCCCCAGGCGTCCCTCACACCTTCTCGGATCCTTGCTCTGCCCATGCCGCTTGCCCGATCCAGACTACTCCGTGGCAGCTTCGCGCGCTTGGCCTTGGAGGCCGCGGATGCGGCCTTCGATCTTCTGGCTCTCTGAACGCCCAGCCCGCTGCATCAGAACGCCCTCGGTGCCACTGACTGCCCTCCACACGCGCGCCCTTTTTACTCTGCCGCGATAACGCCCGTGATCGAGGCGCTCCCCCCCCCCAAACCCACCCACTTTCCAGAAACCAAGCATGACGAACAGCTGGCTGCTTCGATGCGCCAGATGCTTGGAAAGCTGGATGGCGGCGTCTGAAAAACTCGATCCTCGATCTTCAACAAGGCTCCAAACTCCGACACCCGAAAATGTGCGTGTGTGTGTGTGTGTGTGTTGTTCATCCGCGTCCCCTGGGCTCCCGAACACTTCCCAGGGCTAGTTGTCCGATCCGGAACCAGTATTGATGGCCCGATGGCCCGAAAACAGCCCCCGAGCCTCGAAAGCCGAGATCGAAGAAAAAGACTGTGAGATTGAACATGGGATGACTCAGAAGCCAGACTGGATCACCTCGGAGGTTGCTATCAGGACAGGGGGGCCACAAGTGGAATCCAAGGTTGGCAACATCGGTCCTGGCTTACACGTGGGTTACAGGTGCCCTGAATGGCTCGGGCAGGAGGGCGATAGGGGTCAGATCTGGGCTACGTGATCCCCCGCGCCCACTCAGAGGAGTCATCTAGCCGCCATAATCCACTTGAGACACCCGTAACCCGTGTGGAAGCTAGGTTAGGCCAGATGTAACCCACCTTAGCGTCCATCTGCATCCAGCCTGGCGGCACAAACAAAAACCAAGACTGCTGCTCCCCGGCCCTCTCCCGGGATGCGTTCTGACCAGAACTTCGAAGAGAATTCAACTGTGGCCTCGAGGGCCATCCATGGCGAGCAGCGATATCGGTATCGTCTCCCCTGTTGGCAGCGTGTCCCCTCAGCGCCCCTCGCGGTGATGCGAGTGTCGGGTGCGTCCAGGAGGGGGGCGTCCAAGAGGAGGAGGAGGAGGAGGAGGAGGAGGAGGAGGAGGAGGAGGAGGAGGAGGAGGAGGAGGAGGAGGAGGAGGAGGAGGAGGGGGGGAAAGGAGGATGAGGATGAGGAGGAGGGGGATGATGATGATGATGATGATGATGATGAGGAGGAGCGCAAATAGGGCCAGGGGACGGATTGAACAACGAAGAGAGGGAATAAGATCTGGGCAAACATCATGGCCCCAGCCATTCTGTTGGAGGACCGACGCACGTAAACATTGTTTCTCGGAGGTCCGCGTACATTTCTTGGATCGGCGCTGGACCCCCCTTCCCTGACGCGCGGAGCGATAAATCCGAGCGCACCTCCGAGGAATCATTTTCATGTGATTGCTTTTTTTTTCTGCGTCCGTACTCATCACCTACCTCCTGGACGCCCCCGAAATGGAGGGCGGCGGCGGGCCTGTTCAGCACGGGGCTCATCGCCGGGGCGAACAGCGGGGACGCCGCCGTGAGCTCCTGCGGCTCGGCACCGCGGCTGCGGGCCCGACAAGCGGACCGTACAGCGAACAAACATGATGTCGTCGTCGTCATCTATGCCGTCGTCTTACGCACAACCCAGCGCGCCAGCGGCCGTCTCTGAGTCCGAGCGCGCATGCACGCCCTGAACTTCTGCAGCCGCGCCACGGACCTGGTCAAGAAAGCGGAACCACGGACCTGAACAACAGGAAGCCAAGGAAACATCTACTGCGAATTGTCGTTCTTGGTCATCGTCCTCGTCCTCGTCCTCCTCCCCCCTCCTCCTCCTCGTCGTCGTCGTCTTCGTTTTCGCCTTGGTCCTCCTCCTCCTCCTCCTCCTCCTCCTCCTCCTCCTCCTCACCTCCTCGTCGTATGGGGCGGGGCGGGGCGAGGGAGATGTGGAGAACTGGTGCAGGGGACGAGGAAGGGGAGGCGTACCATGAAACGGGCACGAACGGTCTAGCTTTTGGGGGGAAACGATGGGAGGAGGAGCGGGAGGTGGCGGGTGGTGTGGGGGAGGAGGAGGAGGAGGAGGAGGAGGAGGAGGAGGAGGAGGAGGAGAGGAGAGAGGAGGAGGAGGAGGAGGAGGAGGAGGAGGAGGAGGAGGAGGAGGAGGAGGAGGAGGAGGAGGAGGAGGAGGAAGAGGAGGAGGAGGAGGAGGAGGAAGAGGAGGGAGAGGGACGGGGAGAAGGGGAATGGGGGAGGATAGTAGGAGGACAACGAGGGGTGGGAGGAGGGATGGGGGGGGGAGGAGGAGCACGGGGAGGGGAAGGAGGATGGCTAGGGAGAGGATGTGGATGGGAGGAGGGAGTGCAAGGAGGGGAATGGTGGAAGAGAAGAGCATTGTAGTTGGTCGCGGGCTAGCTTAAAGCCTTGGCCGTGGCCCTCTTGGCGGCAGGCACGACGAAGGCGGGCCGCCGAAGGGTCCGAGAAGCGAAACGAGGCGAGGGCCCGAGAAGGTTAAGAGACAAGGACGGGAAGGACGAGAAGAGGAAGGACGAGGGGGCGGAGACGTATGGCACATCTCGGCGCCAGTGATGCGTGCTAAGTTCGCACTGGTTCTCCTTCTCCTCATCCTCCTCCTCCTCCTCCTCTTCATCCTCCTCCTCCTTTTCTTTCTCCTCCTTCTCTTTCTCCTCCTCCTTCTCTTTCTCCTCCTCCTTCTCTTCCTTCTCCTCCTCCTCCTCTTCCTCCTCCTCCTCCTCCTCCTCCTTCTCTATCTCCTCCTCCTCCTCCTCCTCCCGCCGGCCTGCCCAATCGGGCAGTCTTTTTCAGGTCCTCCCTCTCTAGAACGCTCTGTCTGGCCCTAGCCTGAGTACCGCAAAACGAAAACGCATCCCTCAAGCTGTATCCGCCGGCCCCGCAGGCGCTTGCGGGGCCTTCGGTCGATGGCTCAACGATGGAGTCCTGAGTCGGGCCGGGCGAAAGGGGGGGGATAGCAAAGGAGGTGTTTGAGGATCAGCTCACGTAGCTGATTTTCCTGGCGCCTCCCGGCGCCGGAGGCGGCTATGTATCGAGGAATGGGCCCCTCGGTGGGGCCGAAACCAGCTGCATGCAGCAGATTTCGTGACCCCTCCGTTTCCTAATCCCCCACTTTCGTCCGCCCCGACGCCTCCGCAGGCGCCTGTCGGCCCAAGAGCGCCTCCAGACAGCCCCAGAGAGCCCCAAGATGGAGAAATGAGGCCTCCAAGACGGCCCAGAAGGCCAAAAAAGAGCCCCACAAAGCCCCGCCCCAAAGGGCCCCAAGACGGCCCCTCTCCAGTGTTCCCCCAGTGGTTTCCCCAACAGCTGAGGGAGCACGCATTCCACACGCGTGGCCGCACTTTCGCTTGACGTTGGAAGACGCAGGTGTTTCCAAAGGCAGGATGCGGCGGTGATTCGCCGAAAGCATCTCCGATGAGAACAAACGAGGTGGGCGAACTCTTGAATTCACTGCATTCGTTGGCTGAGATAGCATGCGGCTCTTCTCATCAGATCACAATTCTGAATAACAACGTGTCGCCATGTACGGATCAGTGCGTTTCCGGTCATACACACGCACATTTTGTATCCGGCTCCTATACGCCCCCTGATGGACCTCTCCATGGTTCTTTGAAAGGAACCCACGCCCAAATCATATGTTGCACCCCCCGTGCAAAATCCGGTTCCGCAAACACGACGTTCTTTTCCACAACATGCGAGGCATGCGAAGGAGCATCATCAGCAACAAGAGAATACTCATCAAGAGCGCGACGAGACACGTGCGTGAAAGAGGGAGACACGCGCGACATAGAAACGAGGATCATGAGAATGCGGAGAATGAGTAGGAAGAACCAACCTCTCGCGCACCTCCTCCTGCTCCTCATCATCATCATCGTCATTGTCATCGTCATCGTCATCGTTATCCTCATCATCATCATCATCACCATCACCATCACCATCAACATCACCATCACCATCACCATCACCATCACCATCACCATCACCATCACCATCACCATCATCATCATCATCATCATCATCATCATCATCATCATCATCATCATCATCATCATCATCATCATCATCATCATCATCATCATCATCATCATCATCATCATCATCATCATCATCATCATCACCATCACCATCATCACCATCATCGCCACCAGCATCATCATCGCCATTATCATCGCCACCATCATCATCATCATCATCATCATCATCAGCAGCAGCAGCAGCAGCATCAGCATCAGCATCAACATCAGCATCAACATCAGCATCATCATAAGCATCAGCATCAACATCACCACCAGCATCACCACCAACACCATCGTCATAACCCTGGTCTTCCTACGTGCCTCTCCATGCCTCCCCGAGTCCAGCCGCAGGTGGCGCGCTGACGGGCAAGCGGCCAGGCGAGCAGGCGGACCCCTGGGGGGGAAGGACCCTCACACCCATGAGCCCGACGCATTATCTGAGCAACCCCCAGAGTCTTGGGGCGCCTCAGAGCCTGAACAGCGCCTTTCTCAGATATTGACTTTCCCATCGCGGGGTCTCACGACCTCTCTATCACTCCCCAAGGACTGGTCTTTCGCCCTCGATCGGGCGACCGTGCCGAATGAGTTCGGTGCTATGGCGCGGCGGCGCGCTGAAGAATCAATGGCGGGCTTTGCTGCTGCCAGAACAGATACGCGTAACGGAATGTGGGATTGGCTGGAACTTGCCCTCGTGTATCAGACTGTGTCCCGCGCGTGCGTGAAATGTCAAGACCATAGTCAGATGCAAACGGGCACGTGGACCGATAGTCTCGCTCGTTGCCGGGTTCCAACTCAGGAAATGCAGAACTACCTGCATACACACACACTTTCGGAGGTCCGCGGTCGTCCCTGGACCCCCTCCTTCCCTAGCGCGCGAAGCGAACAAGGGGCGTCGCCAGAGGGGTTCAGCACCGATCCAAGAAACCTGCGCGGACCTATGGACGATTGTGTTTGATGCAGCTTTAGATAAACACTCTTCGAATGACTGAATACGACGAGGAGGATAACGATGGCGAGGAGGAGGAGGAGGAGGAGGAGGAGGAGGAGGAGGAGGAGCAGGACGATGACGAGGAGGGTAAAAGGAGGACGACGAGGAAGGCTGGGCTGGCAGGAGTTGGCGGTGCGCACAGCGGCTTAGCGCGAGGGGGGCGGCCTTATCAGAAGGCGGGAAGCTCCTTAGAAGTCAGGGGCCTTCTTGGAAAGGCCTGGAGGCTTCCACAAAAGGCTTCTGGGGAACCGCAAGGGCTCCCAAAGAGCCCCCCTGCCGTCCTAGAACCCGCTGCGCCTTCTCCGACGGCCGCCCACATCGCGCCACCCCCCTTGTGCGCGTCCGCAGGAGGAAGGACGGACGAAGACGAAGAATGGCACGTCCGATGTGGGTATGGAAATAACAGACACATTGCCCAGCAACTGTTGCCCACAACCGACTGCTGCCGTTGTTGGGCAAACGTCGCTGGTCCCGAATGGACAACATCCGCGGCGACGCCGGCAGCAAGTCTTGTTCAACATTGTCACGACCTGCTGTTGGTCGTCGTCCCCATTCTTTCCGTACTCATGTCGGCCGCGCGTTGAGGACTCGGACCGCCGCGGGGGGTGCTACGTGGACTAGGGGGGCTATACGCTAATGATAATGTTGGTTATATCTAGCACTGACCTAGCTCACAATCTGGTTACAACTGCCCTGCTGGCCTATGGGTATTAAATAACCCTGCCAAATACGCTGAGCCCACTTAGCCCCGTTCAGATCCGCAGCCAGTTCGGACACGTGCGACCCACTTCTAGGCTAGGTTCGGCCATGCATGCATGCTATCATGTAAGCTCAATAGAGTGGGGGGGGGGAGCGAAATGCCTTACACCATCCCTGCTCAAGACTCGTGCTCTCGCAGAAGGCCCCTTTACAACTTACGCAATTCGTTCAATGCCACGCCCCCCGCCCAACCTACCCGTCAGGGTCCGCCCACCCCACCCGCCAGTTTACCCCGCCCGCTTCGGTGTCCCGCCTGACCCGCCCGCTACTCCAGATTTCGTAATAAAAAGGGAGGGGGTCTCAACCCTCCAAGATAGCCTGGAGGAGACCCCCCCCCCGAAATGAGACCCCCCTCCCTTTACTGCGAAATCTGGAGCAGGGTCCGCCCGCCAGACCCGCCCCTCGGGGCCCGCCCGCCGACCCGCCCGTCAGGGCCCGCCCGCTCGCTCTGTGCGCCAAGGCCCGGCCGTCCGCGTGCTCGGAAGCCTGCACCGCCCGCTTCGCTGCCCCACCCGCCCGACGCGCCTGTCCATGTCCGCCCGCCCGACCCGTCCCTTAGTTGGGGCCGGCCCGCCCGTCACGGTCCGCTTGCCGAAATCGTTGCCTCTCTCTCCTACCACTTCTGCTGAATCCCCACTCGCCCTCCGTCTTCCTCCCTTCCTCTTGCCCCTCTCCGTTCTCGCGTCCTCCTCCTCCCCTCATCGCTCTCTCCCTTCCTCCTTTTCCCTCCTCTTCTGTCTATTTGCGAGGTCACGGGCCAGCTGCACGTCGCACGCAAGGAAGACATACCCCCAAAGGGGGCACGGTCGAATACGAAGAGGGCGGGTATCGAGGGCTCGGGATACGCATGTTGAATGACGCGCGAGCAACGAAGAGTGAACAGTCTTGAGCTGATTATTGCTGCTGTCGTCGTCCTTGCCCGCGACCCACCCTCGACCCACCCGCGACCCGACCGCGACCCGTCCGCGAACCGCCCACGACCCAGCCGCGACCCACCCGCGAGTCGCCCGCGACACGCTCGTGGCCCACCCACATTCGTCGTCTTCGCGAAAATTCGGCGCCTGCGGCGGGCGCCCTTGTGCAATGAAAGGAAGGCGGCGCCTGCGGCGGGCTTCGTCAGAGCCTTGCAGACTGCCGACGACCCCGCCGAACCACCCCTGTCATCCACAACTGTGGGGGCTACGTAAACGCAGCACCCCGCAATTTGCGAATAGGATTACGGGGCGGGGGCGGGGTGTGTCGCGGGTGGGTCGCAGGCGGGTCCCGCGGGGGACGACGACAACAGCGACAAACAACTAACAAGCAGAATCCGCGCCGCGGGATCCCACTTCACCCACGCACCCAGGGACGGTGCAAGACCGCTTGGCCCTCTTCTTCTGACATAGCCCATCTCCGAACATTCACGTATAACCCCCCCTGTCGCCTCACCATCCCCCGCGGTGTTCCGAGGTGGAGGACGGCGACGAGGTCGAGGAGACGCCCCTGGTGGCGAGGGCGACAGCCAAGAGGGCGAAGAGCCCCAAGGACCGGCGTCCGGCTCCTGGATCTGGCGCCGCTGCTGCTCCGACGCGGCCCTGCCAGCTTCGTGGGCGTCGCGCACGTACCTCTCCAAGGCGTCCCGCACAACCTCGAGGAGGGAGGAGGAGGGAGGTGGGAGGGAGGGAGGAGGGATGTGGGAGGGAGCTGGGGGGGAGGCAAGGAGGAGGGAGGAGGCTGTGACGACGAGGGGGCGGAGGAGGAACAAGATGATGAAGACGATGCCGATGATGATGAAACGGAGTAAGGTGATAATGATGTTGCTGCTGGTGATGCTGATGATGATCACTTTGACGCTGACGAAGATGGCTATGATGATGGGATGATGGGCATGGTGATGATAGGACGAGGAAGAGGATGAGGCTTTTGCAGATGATGCTGGTGGTGTTGATGGCGATGATGCTGCTGCTGCTGAGGAGGAGGAGGAGGAGGAGGAGGAGGAGGAGGAGGAGGAGGAGGCTGGAAGGCAGCGCGCAACTGTACACAGCAAGCGTAGACAACATAATCAGCTGGCCGCGTGTAGCTCGCAACAGTGCAAGGTAGAGTCACGGGTGGCACGGCCCCCCCCCACAGGATAGGGGGAGCTCATGCACCAAGACCCGCGCGGTGGAGGATGAAAGCTGTGCTGACGGCAATGCCGTACCCATCCCAGTCCCGAACCCATCCCACCAGATCATGTGCTTCTAGGCCTCTCCGCCCAAGTAAAGTGAGATGCAGGTAGGGGTGAGGGAGGTGACGCCAGGCTCAGTAGGTGTAGGTCCTGTGGCAACTGTCATATTTGTGCCTCTCCCGAAGGTGGCACCGCACGGCTCCATGCAGGGTATGAGGCTGTCAATTGGTGTGGATGTAGCGGTCGCGCACTGTCCGTGTTGCCAAAACCCGACGGTAAAGACGGGTACTTTGGCTTGTCCGTTGGTGGTTCTTTGCGTGGTTTACGTCGGCATTCCTCAGTACCGTGTATTGCTGCTGGTGTTCTTGTACTTTGTTCAATACTTTGTCACAGCTGGCTTGCCGTAGTAGTTGGAATTGTGTAGAAGATTGTCGTCTGTCCGTATTGCGGTCGGTCTCGTTTGGCCGTCTTACATGGGTGGTGGAGCTTTGGGTGGAACGTATACCGAAATGGTTGCGTGCGTCTGTCGTGTACGCTGGGTCGGTGGAGCGTCCGCCAGCCATCCGTATGTGACCGTCGAAGTGCTTGATGGTGGGCGGACGGCAGGTATGTTGAGCCTTGGAGGGGGCAGCAATTGCTGTGAAGGGTTGTCTGTCGGGCGTTCTGGGGTGCTGAACTTCTCTATGGCTGCGTTGTACCGTCTTGTGACGTGTGGTACGACGTCCCTTCTGCTGGTGGAGCTGGTTTGTCATTGTGGCATTGTCCTTGCACTGCTGGTGCCAATGGGCTAGTGTTGATGTGTGCCCAAAGTTTAACCCAATACCCTGCGCAACTTTGCACTTTTGTTTGGCCTCAACGCCACACTGCCTCGCTCTTCAAGCACTGTGGGCAGGGCACAGTGCAGGCACGGCTTGAAAACCGAGCCGTCTGAATAGACGAGGCGAGCTCGTCGAGGACCAGCGACAAAATGCCCTGGCCCTCAGTCGGAGGAGTCACTGTCTTGAACCTCCGTCCGAGCAAGGGGGTGCCCACCCTCCTTCAGACAGGGGGCAGAGGCAACAGCACACAGGGAGTCCCCTGCATGTGAAACCCTCGGGTGGGCAAGCCACAGAGACCCGAGTTGCTGCGCTGGGCCCTGGACCACAGAGTCCCGTACGGGAGGGCCCAGGGGGGGCACAAAAGAGGGCGCCTCGCCACGTCCATCCACAACGCCCGAAGACGACGACGACCTGATCGACGACTCGACTTGGGGTGGCGGCGTGGGGTCAGCAGAAGGGCCGAACAGAAAAGCAGCGGCCCCTGCTTCAGCTTCGAGCTCAAACCCCTCGGGCCTCGTCTGAGCAGGCGGCGACGGCGGAAACGACGACGCACCACTGCCACTCGACGCGCCCTGAGGGGGAGCTCGGAAGCAAGGCTGTGCAACGACAGCTTGGTCCGAAGACAGGGGATGCGCCTCCTCCCACTCCGCCGTGCTGTGAGCGGTCGGCATGTCCGAACGAAAAAGACCAACAACAGCGTGCGTGTCAACTACAATAGCACTTCTGAGCCTGTTGGGGTGACGACCTCGAGCACACAACGCTTTCCAGGCATAACCTCCATCCCGCGAAGCTTTGCCTGGGCAAAGTTTGCCAAGGCCCATCACTCTACCACCGGTGCTGTCTTGCTTGCAACGAATGCAAATAAAAAGATGTGACCCGTCTGAGCAGGGCAGCGCCAGGACACGGTGACCATGGGAAACCAGCACACCCTCATCGAGCTTGCTAATGCCAGGACATTCGCTCCCCGCAGGGACCGCACTCCTACAACCTAGCAAGCAGACCCGACAACGCCAGATCCCAGACCAGACGGCCCAGTCGTGAGGCCGCGCAACAGACAAAGACGGAGGCTTACTCGCAAGCAGGTCCCTCTTTGGGGCTCCCGAGAAGTCCAAGCGAGGCCGCTCAAGCAGCACGCGAGAAGCCAACTTGCACACCGTTTTGGCAACTTTGATCTGCCACTCAACACTCAACATGAGGTCAGTGTCGACAGTATGAAAGGAAATAGCATGCTTGGCGGCCGCGTCAGCGTCATTATTACACATGCGCCGAAAGGATTCCTGGGGACTAAGACCAGCCTCATCCAGATCCTTGTGGGCCTCGGCTTTGATGATTTCTCCTATATAGCGACCCTCCCGAGCGTTCGCCTCAAGGAGGATCCCGCTGTACACATGCTTACAGGAACGCCTGGCAGGAGGCGGGAGATTAGACAACCTGACAACGTTAAGGCAGTCACTATACACGGAGGACTCGTGTCTGACAAGCGTGTCAGCCATCCCCCGAGCAAGCCACTCGCCCGCTTGAGGGGTTTGCGGATAGCGATCCCAAACAGGACCACTAACAGCGCCGAGCAACTCACCAGTAGCGTCATGCACAGTAATCGCCCAAGACGCCCTAGAGAGCTTTCTAATTATGTGCCTGTGACACGAACCATTCAAGAAATAGCTCCACTACGAACCTCCTCAGGCCCTTCAGGCCCGTCCAGCTCATCCCTAAACCACTTGAGTTGAACTTGACCGTCAGCGCAAGGCCTCGGGAGATCATCGGCGGGGTGGGCGGGAGCCGCATGGCAGAATAAGTCGGCCGAGTAGTCCGCAGCCTCAGTGTTCAAAGCTGAGGCGATGACATCGGCGTCTGCCACCTCAGCTCGCACTTCCGCACAGTGAGGACAGACCCACAGCCTGTTTTGGAGGCTGTCGCGATCCCCACAAAAAGGGCACAACTCACTAATATCATATCCGCAACGGATCGCACGATCAGGGGTCCAGATCGCATTGCACGCAAGCGCCCGAATCAATCCTTTGTCCCGAGCCGAGAATTTGCTAGACGCGAGGGCGGCCCTGGGAACGTCGAGGCAACGCCGCCCCCCATCAGCCCATTTCTCCCCCAGATCCCTCTCTAAGGAACGAAGCAGGGCCTCGCGGCAGTGTATGGCCAACAACGCAGGGGAAGTAACACCTAACTCGATGGGTCTACCCTTGTCATCAATGGTGGTCATCGCATTAGTCATGTGCCAGCCGAGCCTGAGCAACGTCAAGCGCATGGCACTGAGCGGTCCCGCCACAGTGCCCCACGTAACTTTCGGCCTGGCCCACACAGCAGCCCACGCCTCTCGAAGCTCCCGAAGCGACAGCGCCCCAGGGAAGAGATAGGTCTGCGACAACCAGACCTCCTTACCCCATCTCAAAATGGGCGCCGTCGCCGCTCTCCAGGTGGGGTCGGAGGCAAGAATACAGCAAGCCGTGAGGCTTCTGCCCGAAGCAAACGGTCTCACCTGAGAAAAAAGCAGCCCTCCGCATGCACAAAAGATCATTGTCACTGACCCCCGCCACTTCACAACCATAAGCGCCCGAAGCTAAGGGGCCAACGGCGAAGATTTTGAGACTCTTCCTGCCGAGGGTGCCAGAAAGCTTTTTAAGTCGCTTAGACTTTCTCAGCATCGCGGCCACACGCGCCTTGATTTTGCCCCCATTGTCCCTTCTTGCCCCGAATAGATTTGCCCGCGGAGAAATCGACCCCCACATTCGGAGTCGACTCGACCACGCGGCCCCCCAAGGACCCAAGACGCTTGGAAGCGGCCGTTCCCACGTCCACATCAGAGGCCACCGTGCAAACCTTGTCGAGAGCAAGACTACAACCAAGCATGAGAGTGATCGCATCATGAAGCGCAGTGGAAGCCCTCACAATGCTGAGAACAACCAACGACTTAGAACCATAGGCAGAGACACAACTATCGTCGATGTAAATGCCGAGCTCAGAAGACGGCGAGACGGGAATCGTGTCGAAGGCGCCCATGCCAAACACGCGAATGAAAGTGGTGGCGAAACTGCACCCCGCCACCGCCCCAAACTCAACATGGTAGGGGCCATTGACCAGGCCACCTGACGACAGAAACCGACCCGCTCGAAACGCGAATATGCACACACGCGCGATGGCCAGCGGGAACTGGTGCTTCCGACACTTGGTCTCCAAAACTCTCAAATCAATCGTCTCATAATACTTGAGCATACCATAGAAGACCGAACAAGAGCACTCTTTGCTCGCCGTGCTGCACTCCGCCCTAACAGATTGGCGCCACACCGCGTCAGCTGCTCCCCTGTGCTCTCCAGCGGCCCAGTACCGACGGGGGTGTTGCTGTTCCCAGGCCAGGGCATGAGCTCGGCGACACCGACCTCAGACCCTGTACCAGGAACAGAACACCCCAATCGGCCTGTAGCCGCCAGAGGGTTTGGGGAGCAGCGCAAGCAGCACAGCCGAAATCTGTTCAGGAAGCTGGCCGACACACTCCATGACTTCAAAAAGGGCGGCCAGGCATTCGAGAGCATCATCGCACAAATACTGAAAGTGCCTGCAGTTGAAGCCATCGAAAGAGACCGCCGTGTTTTTCTTGTATTTACGCGGGACGCCACGAATGTCGTCAGCGCTGAGACGAGGGACGGGGTCGAC